AAGGGCCTAGCGTGTGGAAAAGTGCAAGAACAAGGGCCTAGCATGTGCAAAATAGCAAGAACAAGGGCCTAGCGTATGCAAAATTGCAAGAACAAGGGCCTAGCGTGTGCAAAATTGCAAGAACAAGGGTCTAGCGTGTGCAAAATAGCAAGAACAAGTGCCTAGCGTGTGCAACATTGCAAGAACAAGGGCCTAGCGTGTGCAAAATTGCAAGAACAAGGGTCTAGCATGTGCAAAATAGCAAGAACAAGGGCATAGCGTGTGCAAAATTGCAAGAACAAGGGCATAGCGTGTGGAAAATTGCAAGAACAAGGGTCTATTGTGTGCAACATAGTAAGAACAAGGGCCTAGCGTGTGCAAAATTGCAAGAACAAGGGTCTAGCGTGTGAAAAATTGCAAGAACAAGGGCCTAGCTTGTGCAAAATTGCAAGAACAAAGGCCTAGCGTGTGTAAAATTGCAAGAACAAGGGTCTAGCGTGTGCAAAATAGCAAGAACAAGGGCCTAGCGTGTGCAAAATTGCAATAACAATGGTCTACCGTGTGCAAAATAGCAAGAACAAGGGCCTAGCGTGTGCAAAATTGCAAGAACAAGGGCCTAGCGTGTGCAAAATTGCAAGAACAAGGGTCTAGCGTGTGCAAAATTGCAAGAACAAGGGCCTTGCGTGTGCAAAATTGCAAGAACAAGGGTCTAGCGTGTGCAAAATAGCAAGAACAAGGGCCTAGCGTGTGCAAAATTGCAAGAACAAGTGCCTAGCGTGTTTCAAAATTGCAAGAACAAGGGCATAGCGTGTGCAAAATAGCAAGAACAAGGGCCTAGCGTGTGCAAAATTGCAAGAACAAGGGCCTAGCGTGTGCAAAATAGCAAGAACAAGGGCCTAGCGTATGCAAAATTGCGAGAACAAGGGCCTAGCGTGTGCAAAATTGCAAGAACAAGGGTCTAGCGTGTGCAAAATAGCAAGAACAAGTGCCTAGCGTGTGGAAAATTCCAAGAACAAGGGCCTAGCGTGTGCAAAATTGCAAGAACAAGGGTCTAGCGTGTGCAGAATGGCAAGAACAAGGGCATAGCGTGTGCAAAATTGCAAGAACAAGGGTCTAGCGTGTGCAAAATTGCAAAAACAAGGGTCTAGCGTGTGCAAAATAGCAAGAACAAGGGCCTAGCGTGTGCAAAATTGCAAGGACAAGGGTCTACTGTCTGCAAAATTGCAAGAACAAGGGCCTTGCCTGTGCAAAATTGCAAGAACAAGGGTCTAGCGTGTGCAAAATAGCAAGAACAAGGGCCTAGCGTGTGCAAAATTGCAAGAACAAGGGCCTAGCGTGTGCAAAATTGCAAGAACAAGGGCCTAGCGTGTGCAAAATTGCAAGAACAAGGGTCTAGCGTGTGCAAAATAGCAAGAACAAGGGCATAGCGTGTGCAAAATTGCAAGAACAAGGGCCTCGCGTATGCAAAATTGCAAGAACAAGGGCCTAGCATGTGCAAAATTGCAAGAACAAGGGCCTAGCGTGTGCAGAATTTCAGAAACAAGGGCCTAGTGTGTGCAAAATTGCAAGAAAAAGGGGCTAGCGTGTGCAAAATAGCAAGAACACGGGCCTAGCCTGTGCAAAATTGCAAGAACAAGGGTCTAGGGTGTGCAAAATAGCAAGAACAAGTGCCTAGCGTGTGCAACACTGCAAGAACAAGGGCCTAGCGTGTGCAAAATTGCAAGAACAAGGGTCTAGCGTGTGCAAAATAGCAAGAACAAGGGCATAGCGTGTGCAAAATTGCAAGAACAAGGGTATAGCGTGTGCAAAATTGCAATAACAAGGGTCTATTGTGTGCAACATAGTAAGAACAAGGGCCTAGCGTGTGCAAAATTGCAAGAACAAGGGTCTAGCGTGTGAAACATTGCAAGAACAAGGGCCTAGCTTGTGCAAAATTGCAAGAACAAAGGCCTAGCGTGTTCAAAATTGCAAGAACAAGGGTCTAGCGTGTGCAAAATAGCAAGAACAAGGGCCTAGCGTGTGCAAAATTGCAAGAACAAGGGTCTACCGTGTGCAAAATAGCAAGAACAAGGGCCTAGCGTGTGCAAAATTGCAAGAACAAGGGCCTAGCGTGTGCAAAATTGCAAGAACAAGGGTCTAGCGTGTGCAAAATTGCAAGAACAAGGGCCTTGCGTGTGCAAAATTGCAAGAACAAGGGTCTAGCGTGTGCAAAATAGCAAGAACAAGGGCCTAGCGTGTGCAAAATTGCAAGAACAAGGGTCTAGCGTGTGCAAAATTGCAAGAACAAGGGCCTTGCGTGTGCAAAATTGCAAGAACAAGGGTCTAGCGTGTGCAAAATAGCAAGAACAAGGGCCTAGCGTGTGCAAAATTGCAAGAACAAGGGCCTAGCGTGTGCAAAATTGCAAGAACAAGGGCCTAGCGTGTGCAAAATTGCAAGAACAAGGGCCTAGCGTGTGCAAAATTTCAGAAACAAGGGCCCAGTGTGTGCAAAATTGCAAAAACAAGGGCCTAGTATGTGCAAAATAGCAAGAAAAAGGGGCTAGCGTGTGCAAAATAGCAAGAACAAGGGCCTAGCGTGTGCAAAATTTCAGGAACAAGGGCCTAGTGTGTGCAAAATTGCAAGAAAAAGGGGCTAGCGTGTGCAAAATAGCAAGAACAGGGGCCTAGCGTGTGCGAAATTGCAAGAACAAGGGTCTAGCGTGTGCAAAATAGCAAGAACAAGGGTCTAGCGTGTGCAAAATAGCAAGAACAGGGGCCTAGCGTGTGCAAAATTGCAAGAAAAAGGGTCTAGCGTGTGCAAAATAGCAAGAACAAGGGTCTAGCGTGTGCAAAATAGCAAGAACAAGGGCCTAGCGTGTGCAAAATTGCAAGAACAAGGGCCTAGCGTGTGCAAAAATGCAAGTACAAGGGCCTAGCATGTGCAAAATTTCAGGAACAAGGGCCTAGTGTGTGCAAAATTGCAAGAAAAAGGGGCTAGCGTGTGCAAAATAGCAAGAACAAGGGGCCTAGCGTGTGCAAAATTGCAAGAACAAGGGTCTAGCGTGTGCAAAATAGCAAGAACAAGGGCCTAGCGTGTGCAAAATTGCAAGAACAAGGGCCTAGCGTGTGCAAAATTTCAGGAACAAGGGCCTAGTGTGTGCAAAATTGCAAAAACAAGGGCCTAGTATGTGCAAAATAGCAAGAAAAAGGGGCTAGCGTGTGCAAAATAGCAAGAACAAGGGCCTAGCGTGTGCAATATTGCAAGAACAAGGGTCTAGCGTGTGCAAAATAGCAAGAACAAGTGCCTAGCGTGTGGAAATTTGCAAGAACAAGGGCCTAACGTGTGCAAAATTGCAAGAACAAGGGTCTAGCGTGTGCAAAATAGCAAGAACAAGGGCATAGCGGGTGCAAAATCGCAAGAACAAGGGTCTAGCGTGTGTAAAATTGCAAGAAGAAGGGCCTTGCGTGTGCAAAATTGCAAGAACAAGGGTCTAGCGTGTGCAAAATAGCAAGAACAAGGGCCTAGCGTGTGCAAAATTGCAAGAATAAAAGCCTAGCGTGTGCAAAATTGCAAGATCAAGGGTCTAGCGTGTGCAAAATTGCAAGAACAAGTGTCAAGCGTGTGCAAAATAGCAAGAACAAGGGCCTAGCGTGTGCAAAATTGCAAGAATAAGGGCATAGCGTGTGCAAAATTGCAAGAACAAGGGCCTAGCGTGTGCAAAATTGCAACAACAAGGGCCTAGCATGTGCAAAATTGCAAGAACAAGGGTCTAGGGTGTGCAAAATAGCAAGAACAAGGGCCTAGCGTGTGCAAAATTGCAAGAACAAGGACCTAGCGTGTGCAAAATTGCAAGAACAAGGGCCTAGCGTGTGCAAAATTGCAAGAACAAGGGCATAGCGTGTGCAAACTTTCAGGAACAAGGGCCTAGTGTGAGCAAAATAGCAAGAAAAAGGGGCTAGCGTGTGCAAAATAGCAAGAACAAGGGCCTAGCGTGTGCAAAATTGCAAGAACAAGGGTCTAGCGTGTGCAAAATAGCAAGAACAAGTGCCTAGCATGTGCAACATTGCAAGAACAAGGGCCTAGCGTGTGCAAAATTGCAAGAACAAGGGTCTAGCGTGTGCAAAATAGCAAGAACAAGGGCATAGCGTGTGCAAAATTGCAAGAACAAGGGCATAGCGTGTGCAAAATAGCAAGAACAAGGGTCTATTGTGTGCAAAATAGCAAGAACAAGGGCCTAGCGTGTGCAAAATTGCAAGAACAAGGGCCTAGCTTGTGCAAAATTGCAAGAACAAGGGTCTAGCGTGTGCAAAATAAAAAGAACAAGGGTCTAGCGTGTGCAAAATAATAAGAACAAGGGTCTAGCATATGCAAAATTGCAAGAACAAGGGCCTAGCATGTGCAAAAAAAAAAAAGAACAAGGGCCTAGCGTGTGCAAAATTGCAAGAACAAGGGCCTAGCGTGTGCAAAATAAAAAGAACAAGGGCCTAGCGTGTGCAAAATAAAAAGAACAAGGGCCTAGCATGTGCAAAATTGCAAGATCAAGGGCCTAGCGTGTGCAAAATTGCAAGAACAAGGGCCTAGCGGGTGCAAAATTGCAAGAGCAAGGCCTAGCGTGTGCAAAAAATCAAGAACAAGGGCCCAGCGTTCGCAAAATAGCAAGAACAAGGGCCTAGCGTGTGCAAAATAAAAAGAACAAGGGCATAGCGTGTGAAGCAAGGAAAAGAGGAATGAAATGACTAAGGAAAGATTGGGTACAAATACAACCCTAGAAACCCTGTACCCCATATGTGCTACCCCACTATAGCCTACAGCAACTATGTCATATAAATCTGACACACCCCCATAGGCAAAGTGGGGGAGAACAAGGGGTCACAGGACCAGTCAAGCAAAGCAAAGCAAGCTCAGGGTGGATCACAAAGTCACCACACTGTCCGAGCACAAGAGTAGGGCCAGAGGCCAGTTCACATGCAGGAGTACAGACATATATATAAAACTAGACAAACAAGAGCAGGCATATATATATGTCACAGTACACGTGAAGTCAAGAGGAGAGCAAGTGAGGCAAGACAGGCACAAGACCGAGCTGGGTGCAAAAGCGCTGATGGTCACAAGGCGCGAGTGCCTTGGTGAACACATCAGCAGTGTTGGCCTCAGAGGCCACGTACGCAAGTCGCAACTGACCACGCTGCTGCAGCTCACGAGCAAGGAAGTAGCGGAGAGCAATGTGCTTCGTTCTGTGCTCCAAGCGCTGCTCTCGACACAAGGCCAGCATAGCCTTGTTGTCTACGTACAGCACTGGAGGAGAACGAGGCGGCTCTCCAAGGTCAGTCAGCAGGTAGGTGAGCCAGCGAAGCTCCTGTGTAGCCATGGCCCCGGCGTAGATCTCAGCCTCACAACTGGAGCCGAGAACCGAAGACGAGCGGGTAGACCGCCGCGAGACAGAGCCGAAACCAAGGCTGAAGGTGTAACCCTGTGACGACCGCTGCGTAGCCTGGTCGTCAGCCCAAGAAGCGTCCGCGTGGCCGGTAAGGACCACTGGACTCCGCCCTCCAAGCACTAGCCCCATGCCCGACGTACTGCACAGGTAGCGCAATACCCTCTTCGCTGCAGCCATGTGCTCCGGTCTGTGTCTCCCAGGAGCAACATAGCGTGCAAGAATGCTCAGAGGGTATGCAAGGTCAGGTCGTGTGCAGGTCATCAGGTACATGAGGCAGCCAACAAGCTCTGCATACGGACCACTCGACTCTACGGACTCATCCGAAGGCAGAGCTGAGAGTGAGTGGCGAGTAGGCAGAGGAGTGGCCTGAGGCGAGGAGTACGTGAAGCCGAAGCGCTGAAGGACCTGCTGCACCATGTGTGACTGAGTCAAGGTAATGGTGCGGCGTGCTCTGTCCCGAGTGATCTGCAAGCCAAGGTAGCTGCGCAGTTCACCCAGGTCTGTGCACGTATGTCTCTTCAGCAGTTCGGACTTCACGTAGGCGAGTCCAGCAGTGTCCGCTGTGGCAAAGACCAAGTCGTCGACGTACACGAGGATGTAGAACGGCGGCAGGGAAGTGTCGGTGCGAAGAAACAGCGACGGGTCAGCAGTAGAAGGAGCAAACCCAAGAGCCGCAAGCGTAGTCCTCAGTGTGTCGTGCCACTCACGCGGTGCCTGGCGGAGACCGTAGACTGGCCGTCGGAGGCTCCACTGGGTGCCAGGAGGGAAAGTCCCAGTGAAGCCAGGTGGACGGCGAAGCCAGATCTCCTCGTGCAGGCTACCGTGCAAGAACGCAGTGCTGAAGTCGAGAGAGTGAAGCTCGTAGTCGCGCTGAGCGGCTATGTGCAGCAGCACCCGAAGAGTAGTCATCTTCGGGGTGGGAGAGAAGGTCTGAAAGTAGTCAACTCCCTGCCGCTGACTGAAGCCACGAGCAACGTACCGTGCCTTGAAGACAGGTGGAGAGTACGGCGGCCGCTTCACCCTGAAGATCCACATGCCACTGACGATGTTCGCCCCAGGAGGGGGAACCGCGTCAACGTAGGTGCCTGTGGACTTCCAGGAAGCCATCTCTGCATCCATAGCTGCCTGCCACTGAGAGGAGTAGGGACCCTCTACGGCCTCCGCGTAAGAACGCGGAGTCGGGATGTCTAGTGCATCCGGGTCTCCCTCAGGGGCAAGCAGTACAGACGCGAGATGAGGTGAAGCAGCCGCTAGACACTGTAACTCCTCTTGCCTGTCCTCTAGGACGTCCGTGCCAAGAGCACACTCACCCCCGACGGACGGTAGACAGACAGATGCAGACTCAGCAACAAGACTAGCAGCATAGTCGAGACGATAGCGAGCAGCAAAGTCAACGAGCTCGGCGACAAGAGCAGACGCAGCAGTGGACTCAAAAGAGGGGTCAGTGACGACAGTAGCAAGCAGACGCGTGACAGTAGGACTCGCAGCGCGAAGAGAGTCCGACTCACGGTCGGCAAGCGCAGGAAGAGAGGACTCAGGAGGAGAAGGCAAAGGGGCACGCAGAGGAGCAGTGGACGGACGCAAAGACATCCGGTGCGTGCCAGGGACAGGAGGAGGACGCTGACGCGAACCGCGACCACTAGCGCGAGCAGCACGAACAGGCGACGCGGGACGAGACGCAGGCTCACGACGCTCAGCAAGACCTCCAGTAGGACCAGTGTAAGGAGAGGGAGCAGGCAGTGGAGAGGAAGGCTCCAGCAGGGACTGCGACTGGACAGGCGGTGGACCCTCTACTGGAGGAGAAAGACCAAGAACCTGCTGCAGGAGCGGAACGAAGTACGGCCGAGGCCGCGCGGCAGCTCCAGACTCAGCAGGGACAGCACCAGCACCCTCAGCGACAGCACCAGCGCCACCCACACCTCCAGCGGCAGGACCAACAGCAGCAGGCTCAGCACGAACGCCCTCAGCAGCTCTAGCTCCAGGAGGACCCGCAGGTCCAGCAGCTCCGGGACCGGCAGCACCCGCACCCTCGACGGTCGAAGAAGCTCCAGCTCCAGCTCCAGCAGCACCTCCAGACTCAGCAGCACGCCTCCAGCGGCGAGCGAACCACTCGCGCAGCTCCTGTGGATAGAGGGGCTCCCGGCGAGACGCAGCAGCAGGAGAAACCCCAGGCTCAGCAGCTCCAGACGCAGCACCCCCAGGCTCAGCAGCTCCCAGCTCAGCACCCCCAGGCTCAGCAGCTCCCGACCCAGCACCCCCAGACCCAGCACCTCCAGGCACAGCACCCCCTGGCTCAGCACCCCCAGGCTCCGCACCCACCGCAGTAGCACCCTCAGGCCTAGCACCCCCAGCAGTAGCACCCCCAGGCTCAGCACCCCCGCGCACAGTACCCCCAGAGTCAGCACCCCCAGGCTCAGCACCCGCAGCAGCACCAGAGTCACCAGTAACCTCGACCGGGTCAACGGCGTCTACCTGGGACACACCTGAGGGGGCAGGAACCTGAGGGGGGAGGGGGTCTACCGGGGGGGGAACCGGCACAAGGAAGTCCGGGGGAGGGGGGAGGGAAGGAGTGCGGTAGGGGAAGAGACGGTAGAAGGGGACTGACTCGTCGAACGTGACGTCCTGGGAGGACAGAACACGACGAGAGGAGGGGTGGTAAAACTGCCACCCTGGGGCGTCAGTGGGGAAGCCAAGGAAGACACAGGGAGCAGCACGAGGGGACAGCTTGTCCGCAGACAAGTCGCGGACAAACGCCCGAGATCCCCAGACACGGAACACAGACGCATCGCCAACCTTCCCCGTCCACAGCAAGACTGGGGACATCGCAGGCCGAGAGACCCGGGGGTGAAGGTTGAGCTGATGCGCCGCGTACCTTACCGCAAACGGCCACAGAAAATGGGGGGCAGCCGCATGCATCATGGACGTACGAGCGACATCCATGACCATGCCAATGCGGCGCTCAGCAATCCCATTTTGCTGTGGTGAGTCCGGAAGCGTGAAGGTCTGGCGGATCCCCCGTGCACGACAGTAGTCTCGCAGAAGGCGAGAAGAGAACTCTGCGCCTCTGTCAGAGTGCAGACGCAGAATAGGAAAGTCCGAGCCGAAGCTCTTCTTGAGCTGGAGACGAGCCTCGCGGATCCAGTCGATCAGCACCTCAGTGACCGCACCCTTGCTGCGCAAGGGGAGGACTGTGGTGTAACGCGAGTAGTCGTCAACCACCAACAGGAAGTAGCGCTCGTAACCCTGCCCACGGACGGGGGCTGGGCCCCACACATCCATGTGAAGCGTCTGCAGGGGAGCCTCTGTCGGGGGGAAGTGGGAGGAGTGAGGAGTAGCCCGGAGGCGACCCTCGACACAGGGGACACAGGAAGGTCCTGGCCCGGAGGGGAGAGGAGGGAGAGACTGGGGAAGACCAGAGACAAGGACACGGAAAGCCATGCTCCGAAGACGGGGCAAGGAGGGGTGGCCAAGACGGTGGTGCCACAGGAGAGTCTCGTGAGACAGGAGGCGACAAGAACAGGGGGCAGACTCAGGACCTGACCGGGACGCAGCAGCAAGTACCTGACCCGACGCAGCCACCTGACCAGACGCAGGGACAGGAGGAGACTCAACGGTCAGGGTGTAGAGACTCGACCCCGGCCGACGCGAGAAGGTGGCCAGGTGTCGGCCTGTGCGTGCCTCCGTGCAGTGGGTCACCCGCTGACTCGCAGGAGTGAACTGGTGAACACCCCCATCCTGCAGGTCCGCTCCACTCACCAAGTTCGTAGAGAACGAGGGAAGGTACAGACCCGACAGGGTGCCCGAAGGGGCAGCCGGACACGGGAGGACAGTGGAGAAGTGAGACAGGACAGGACCTCCAGAGGGGTCAGCAAGGGAGACTGCAACCGGCCGGCCGAGCGGCGTAAGGGTAGTGCGGTCTCGAAAGAAGGAGCGAGAAGCTCCGGAGTCAAGTGTGAAAGCGAGGGAGGACGAGGACGATGCAGTACCTGAGAGCGCAGTCTCACCAGTACCTGAGAGCGCAGACGCACTGGCACCTAGAGCAGCAGCCTCACAAGCACCTAGCGCAGCAGTACCAATGCCCGGGTCGGGCTGGAAACAACGGTAACCCTCATTCTCCTCACTATAATCCACAACATACATAGCAGTAAGGATAGCATCAAAATCAAGATCAAAGATCGCTACACCAGCCCTGAGAAGCTCATCCCAGCGAGGGATCTCACTAGCCCCAGGGAACTGCTGACGCCAAGCGTCCGTCAGGCGGCCAAAGCAGCGCTGGGTGGCCTGGGCACCCCCACACTGCTCACCCGCGCGGTCGCCGGAACGAAGAACGTAGGTGCAGGGACCAGTACCCCCGCCCCTCTGACGCCCAGCGTACCACTCACGAAGCTGCTGAGGCGAAGGGATTTCCCGCGAGCGCTGCTGCTGCTGCCGGTGCGAGCGCTGGCCACCACCACCGCCGCTACGCTGCTGGGTACCACCCCGACCAGCTCCACCTCCTCCACCACCACTGCCTCCTCCGTTGCCGCCTCCACTGCCTCCACCTCCGCCGCCTCCACCTCCGCCGCTGCCTCCACCACCACCGCTGGCACCACCACCACCGTCTCCGCCGCTGCTGCCACCACCACCACCACCACCCCCGCCACTAGTCCCGCCGCCACCCCCACTCCCTCCGCCGCCACCGCTGCCACCGCCACCGCCCCCTCCAGCTCCACCCGCGCCCTTGCCCCCCTTGCCCTTGCTGGAGCGACGTCTCCCACTAGGGGCAGACGCCGCGCCGACCGACTAAAGACCAAGCAGGTCGGCAGCAGCAGCAGAGGCAACAGAGGGCAGCAAGGGGGAAGGAGAGCACCCCTCAAAGATGGGGGTGCGAGGGTCACCACGAGAAGCACCTACAGCGACTATGCTCTTCTCCGCTGCAAGGAGGGCCTTCTCGAGGAGGTCGACGGTGAGGGTGGTGGGACAGACTGCGAGAAAGTGGTCCCTGACGACGCGAAGGGAGTCAGGGAGGCGCGCGACTACGTAGTAGAGAGCGATGTACATGGGGGGGGGGGTTCTTAGCGCAGAACTCAGCAGGAAGGGCGGCGCGGTAGCGAGTGTCACTAGTGCGGAGGTGCGTAATGAGGTCAGCGACAGTGGGAAAGGCAGAGAGGTCAGGAAAGAGGTAGGGAAGCATGAGACGGCTCAGTGCAGCAGTGGCAGGGGAGGAGTAGCGCGCAACTACAGCGTCGTACAAGGTCTGAGCACTCTTGTACTGACTAAAGTGCGCACGCTCAGAGGTAGGGAGGTGGCGACGCACAGCAAGACGTGCAGCAGCATCGCGGGTGGCCCACTTAGAGCGGACAGCGGGATCAGCATCAGCAGCAGGAGCAGGAGAGGCGCCAGAGGTGAGATCAAAGAGAGAAAGGTCGTCAGCCCTGTCGCACTGTAAGAACAGCTGCAGGTCGTCTAACCAGACCTCAAAATCAATGGCGCGACCCTCAGCGTCAAAAGCTAGGACACTAGGGGTAGCCATGGCGACGACACCGACGCAGTGCAAGCAGCAGGGAAAGAGCTCGCAGTGTCAGTGGGACTGTGCTCACCAGACAGGGCAGGTCGAGTAGGTATGCAGAAAGGCGGCTCAGTGACCTGGCGGCTCGGGTGCAGGGCGGCTCGGCTGCTGGGCGGCTCGGGCGCAGGGCGGCTCGGCTCCCGGGCGGCTCGGCGGCTGGGCGGCTCGTCGTCGGGCGGCTCGGCTCACGGGCGGTTCGGCTGCTGGGGCGGCTCGGCCAGGAGATCCAGGGTCGGGGCCGTCAGGTGCAGCGGCGGGTTGACCGGTGCAGTGGCGGGCCGGCAGGTGCAGCGGCGGGCCGGCAGGTGCAGCGGCGGGCCGGCAGGTGCAGTGGCGGGCCGGCAGGTGCAGTGGCGGGCCGGCAGGTGCAGGCGGCGGGTCGTAGGGTGCAGTGGCGGGCCGGCAGGTGCAGTGGCGAGGCCGTCAGAGGCGGCGGGCCGGCAGGTGCAGCGGCGAGGCCGTCAGAGGCGGCGGGCCGCTGGGTGCAGCGGCGGGCCGGCAGGTGCAGCGGCGGGCCGGCAGGGGAGGCGGCGGAGCCGAGTCAGGGGAGGCGGCAGGGCCGCGTCAGGGGAGGCGGCGGAGCCACGTCAGGGGAGGTGGCGGTGCCGCGTGAAGGGAGGCGGCGGAGCCGCGTCAGGGGAGGCGGCGGGGCCGCGTCAGGGAAGGCGGCGGGGCCGCGTCAAACAGGCGGCGGGGCCGCGTCAGGGGAGGCGGCGGAGCCGTGTCAGGGAGGCGGCGGGGCCGCGTCAGGGGAGGCGGCGGGGCCGCGTCAGGGGAGGCGGCGGGGCCGCGTCAAACAGGCGGCGGGGCCGCGTCAAACAGGCGGCGGGGCCGCGTCAGGGGAGGCGGCGGAGCCGCGTCAGGGGAGGCGGCGGGGCCGCGTCAGGGGAGGCGGCGGGGCCGCGTCAAACAGGCGGCGGGGCCGCGATCAGGAGAGGTGGCGGGGCCGCGTCTGAGGGACAGCGGGGCCGCGAGGGAAAAGGCGACCCGAGGGGTCGCTTAAAAAAAAGGCGCGCCTCGGGGCGCGCTTCGGTGGGCCCTAAAAAAACGGTCCTAAAGTAGGACCCGCTCTATACCATGTGAAGCAAGGAAAACAGGAATGAAATGACTAAGGAAAGATTGGGTACAAATACAACCCTAGAAACCCTGTACCCCATATGTGCTACCCCACTATAGCCTACAGCAACTATGTCATATAAATCTGACATAGCGTGTGCAAAATAGCAAGAACAAGGGCCTAGCGTGTGCAAAATAAAAAGAACAAGGGCCTAGCATGTGCAAAATAAAAAGAACAAGGGCCTAGTGTGTGCAAAAATTGCAAGAACAAGGGCCTAGCATGTGCAAAATTGCAAGAAAAAGGGCCTAGCGTGTGCAAAATTGCAAGAATAAGGGCATAGCGTGTGCAAAATTGCAAGAACAAGGGCCTAGCGTGTGCAAAATTGCAAGAACAAGGGCCTAGCATGTGCAAAATTGCAAGAACAAGGGTCTAGCGTATACAAAATAGCATGAACAAGGGCCTAGCGTGTGCAAAATTGCAAGAACAAGAACCTAGCGTGTGCAAAATTGCAAGAACAAGGGCCTAGCGTGTGCAAAATTGCAAGAACAAGGGCCTAGCGTGTGCAAACTTTCAGGAACAAGGGCCTAGTGTGAGCAAAATAGCAAGAAAAAGGGGCTAGCGTGTGCAAAATAGCAAGAACAAGGGCCTAGCGTGTGCAAAATTGCAAGAACAAGGGTCAAGCGTGTGCAAAATAGCAAGAAAAGGGGCCTACCCTGTGCAAAATTGCAAGAATAAGGGCATAGCGTGTGCAAAATTGCAAGAACAAGGGCCTAGCGTGTGCAAAATTGCAAGAACAAGGGCCTAGCATGTGCAAAATTGCAAGAACAAGGGTCTAGCGTGTGCAAAATAGCAAGAACAAGGGCCTAGCGTGTGCAAAATTGCAAGAACAAGAACCTAGCGTGTGCAAAATTGCAAGAACAAGGGCCTAGCGTGTGCAAAATTGCAAGAACAAGGGCCTAGCGTGTGCAAACTTTCAGGAACAAGGGCCTAGTGTGAGCAAAATAGCAAGAAAAAGGGGCTAGCGTGTGCAAAATAGCAAGAACAAGGGCCTAGCGTGTGCAAAATTGCAAGAACAAGGGTCTAGCATGTGCAAAATAGCAAGAATAAGTGCCTAGCATGTGCAACATTGCAAGAACAAGGGCCTAGCGTGTGCAAAATTGCAAGAACAAGGGTCTAGCGTGTGCAAAATAGCAAGAACAAGGGCATAGCGTGTGCAAAATTGCAAGAACAAGGGCATAGCGTGTGCAAAATTGCAAGAACAAGGGTCTATTGTGTGCAAAATAGCAAGAACAAGGGCCTAGCGTGTGCGAAATTGCAAGAACAAGGGCCTAGCACGCTAGGCTCTTGTTCTTGCAAGTTTGCACACGCTATGCCCTTGTTCTTTTTATTTTGCACACGCTAGGCCCTTGTTCGTCCAATTTTGCATATGCTAGACCCTTGTTGTTTTTATTTTGCACACTCTAGGCCCTTGCTCTTGCTATTTCGTGAATGCTAGGCCCTTGTTCTTGATTTTTTGCACACGCTAGGCCCTTGCTCTTGCTATTTTGCACTCGCTAGGCCCTTGTTCTTGCAAGTTTGCACACGCTAGGCCCTTGTTCTTGCAATTTTGCACACCCTATGCCCTTGTTCTTTTTATTTTGCACACGCTAGGCCCTTGTTCTTTTTATTTTGCACACGCTATGCCTTTGTTCTTTTTATTTTGCACACGCTAGGCCCTTGTTCTTTTTATTTTGCACACGCTAGGCCCTTGTTCTTGCTATTTTGCACACGCTATGCCCTTGTTCTTTTTATTTTGCACACGCTAGGCCCTTGTTCTTGCAATTTTGCACATGCTAGACCCTTGTTCTTTTTTTTTTTTGCACACGCTAGGAACTTGCTCTTGCTATTTTGCACTCGCTAGGCCCTTGTTCTTGCAATTTTGCACATGCTAGGCCGTTGTTCTTGCAATTTTGCACTCGCTAGGCCCTTGTTCTTTTTATTTTGCACACGCTAGGCCCTTGTTCTTTTTATTTTGCACACGCAAGGCCCTTGTTCTTGCTATTTTGCACACGCTATGCCCTTGTTCTTTTTATTTTGCACACGCTAGACCCTTGTTCTTGCAATTCTGCACATGCTAGACCCTTGTTTTCTTTACTTTGCACACGCCAAGGCCTTGTTCTTGCTATTTCGCAATCGCTAGGCCCTTGTTCTTGAATTTTTGCACACATTAGGCCCTTGCTCTTACTATATTGCACTCGCTAGGCCCTTGTTCTTGCAATTTTGCACACGCTTGGTCGTTGTTCTTGCAATTTTGCACACGCTAGGCCCTTGTTCTTGCAATTTTGCACATGCTAGGCCCTTGTTCTTTTTATTTTGCACACGCTAGGCCCTTGTTCTTGCTATTTTGCACACGCTATGCCCTTGTTCTTTTTATTTTGCACACGCTAGGCCCTTGTTCTTGCTATTTTGCGAACGCTAGGCCCTTGTTCTTGAATTTTTGCACACACTAGGCCCTTGCTCTTGCTATTTTGCACTCGCTATGCCCTTGTTCTTGCAATTTTGCACACGCTAGGCCGTTGTTCTTGCAATTTTGCACACGCTAGGCCCTTGTTCTTTTTATTTTGCACACGCTAGGCCCTTGTTTTTTTTTTTTTGCTCACGCTAGGCCCTTGTTCTTGCAATTTTGCACATGCTAGACCCTTGTTCTTTTTATCTTGCACACGCTAGGCCCTTGCTCTTGCTATTTCGCGAATGCTAGGCCCTTGTTCTTGATTTTTTGCACACGCTAGGCCCTTGCTCTGGCTATTTTGCACTCGCTAGGCCCTTGTTCTTTCAATTTTGCACACGCTAGGCCCTTGTTCTTGCAATTTTGCACACGCTAGGCCCTTGTTCCTTTTATTTTGCACACGCTAGGCCCTTGTTCTTTTTATTTTGCACACGCTCGGCCCTTGTTCTTGCTATTTTGCACACGCTAGGCCCTTGTTCTTGCTATTTTGCACTCGCTATGCCCTTGTTCTTTTTATTTTGCACACGCTAGGCCTTTGTTCTTGCAATTTTGCACATGCTAGACCCTTGTTCTTTTTATTTTGCACACACTAGGCCCTTGTTCTTGCTATTTCGCGAACGCTAGGCCCTTGTTCTTGAATTCTTGTACACACTAGGCCCTTGCTCTTGCTATTTTGCACTCGCTAGGCCCTTGTTCTTGCAATTTTGCACACGCTAGGCCATTGTTCTTGCAATTTTGCACACGCTAGGCCCTTGTTCTTTTTATTTTGGACACGCTAGGCCCTTGTTCTTGCTATTCTGCACACGCTATGCCCTTGTTCTTTTTATTTTGCACCCGCTAGGCCCTTGTTTTTGCAATTTTGCACATGCTAGACCCTTGTTCTTTTTATTTTGCACACGCTAGGCCCTTGTTCTTGCTATTTCGCGAACGCTAGGCCCTTGTTCTTGAATTTTTGCACACGCTAGGCCCTTGCTCTTGCTATTTTGCACCAGCTAGGCCCTTGTTCTTGCAATTTTGCACACGCTAGGCCCTTGTTCTTGCAATTTTGCACACGCTAGGCCCTTGTTCTTTTTATTTTGCACACGCTAGGCCCTTATTCTTGCTATTTTGCACACGCTATGCCCTTGTTCATTTTATTTTGCACACGCTAGGCCCTTGTTCTTGCAATTTTGCACATGCTAGACCCTTGTTCTTTTTATTTTGCACACGCTAGGCCCTTGCTCTTGCTATTTTGCACTCGCTAGGCCCTTGTTCTTGCAATTTTGCACACGCTAGGCCCTTGTTCCTTTTATTTTGCACACGCTATGCCCTTGTTCTTTTTATTTTGCACACGCTAGGCCCTTGCTCTTGCTATTTTGCACTTGCTAGGCCCTTGTTCTTGCAATTTTGCACACGCTATGCCCTTGTTCCTTTTATTTTGCACACGCTAGGCCGTTGTTCTTTTTATTTTGCACACGCTATGCCCTTGTTCTTTTTATTTTGCACACGCTAGGCCCTTGTTTTTTTTATTTTGGACACGCTAGGCCCTTGTTCTTGCTATTTTGCACACGCTATGCCCTTGTTCTTTTTATTTTGCACACGCTAGGCCCTTGTTCTTGCAATTTTGCACATGCTAGACCCTTGTTGTTGATTTTTTGCACACGCTAGTCCCTTGCTCTTGCTATTTTGCACACGCTATGCCCTTGTTATTGCAATTTTGCACACGCTAGGCCCTTGTTCTTGCAATTTTGCACATGCTAGGCCCTTGTTCTTTTTATTTTGCACACGCTAGGCCCTTGCTCTGGCTATTTTGCACTCGCTAGGCCTTTGTTCTTTCAATTTTGCACACGCTAGGCCCTTGTTCTTGCAATTTGGCACACGCAAGGCCCTTGTTCCTTTTATTTTGCACACGCTAGGCCCTTGTTCTTTTTATTTTGCACACGCTAGGCCCTTGTTCTTGCTATTTTGCACATGCTATGCTCTTGTTCTTTTTATTTTGCACACGCTAGGCCCTTGTTCTTGCAAGTTTGCACATGCTAGACCCTTGTTTTTTTTTTTTTT